TACACTACCTAATTCAGTATTACCACGACGACCCCTTAGCGTGTCACCCCGGATGAAAAGAGACTTATCGGACAATAAAGCAACGATTCTACGGTAAGGGACTAAAAGAATTTCGTGCGCGTGTATGTTAAATCGTGTCATATTTGCGCGTGTACTAAGCCCCTAAACAGACGCCCAGAGGACCCAATAGCCAGTCGCCAACAGAAACAGCCATGGGAAGTAATTAGTATAGACCTAATGGGCCCGGACCCCAGGACACCAAGGGGCAAAACAAACTTGTTAGTGGCGACTGACTCTTTCAGCAGGAGGACAGAAGCGTACGCAATCGGTGCAGCGACGATAAAAACAATTGTTGATACGTTAGAGCGCGAATTTTTCTCACGCTTCGGATACGGGAGCGTAATTTTAAGCGACTACGACAAATCGCTGGTGTCGAAGGAAATGATCGACGAAGTGAACCGATGGGGGGCTGGAGCCTGGACCACACCGATATACCAACCCGGTAGAACGTAGGAACCAGGAATTTAAGAAGGGACTTAGCGCATTGTTAACCGAGTCCACTCACTTTACTTGTGACCTAAAACTACCCCCGCTATTGTTCGCGTTACGCAATCGCTGTAATGAACAAACCCTGGCGGGACTCATGCCCAATCAGGGAGGGTCGAGAGAGATGCGGCGCAGACTTTTAGTCAGCGTCGTACACAAAATATTAATTTTAATTAGGTAAACAAAATATTAATTCTCCCGGATAGTAATAAATGGTATACTTATATCTGACGGAGAGACCATGTACAAATTTACAAATATCTACTAAATGCTCGTCCAAAAATTAACTCCATGACCTTTCACGTTAATAAATATATACTAATATATTTAAAATGGTTAACTATTATAATTAAATATTATATAATATATATATATATTATATAATTAAATATAAACGTAAATATTGTTACATCGCTATTTAGGGATTAAGCCTAAATGTCCGTCAACAGTTAATTCATTAAGTCATGGTTTTTATCAGCATAACTGTATTTTCAATTCACATGGCTCACTTTTAGATTTAGTGTTTAGTAACGTGTTTGATATAAGAGTTAATCTAGCTCCTGAACCGTTTGTTCCTATTGACCCCTATCACCCTTATCTCTATCTTTTCTTTCTAGTTACTTACCAGTTCTCTAAATCCTCTTTATCTACAACTTTCTTTAACATTAATTTTGCTAATTATCCTAATATTTTACAATTTTTAAACTTGTACAATTGGAATTCAACTTTTTAAATGTAGATCAAGCAGTAAACAGCTTCATGGATGCACTTCACTTCTCAATATTACAGTTTGTTCTTCAACATAAATCCCATTCCTCCATATTTTCTCCATGTTTTAATTCTGAATTGAGAAATCTTGTGTTTGAAAAAAGCGTGCACATTATAAATTTAAAAAAACCTCATCTTTTGTTGACTATCATTTTTCACAATGCCATACACGCTATAAATATCTTTTTAAGCAAAAACTGAAAACTGCCTTCTTAAAAACCCTAAATTTTTCTGGAAATTTGTGCGTAAAAATAAATCTTCTGTTCTACCAAATTGTGTTAGTTATAATGGTGTAGTTTCCGATAGTATACTGTCTATGACAAACATGTTTTGTTAACCTTTTTGCTCAGTCTTCTCTCAATCTTCTTCTCCTTTTCTTAATATCCTCCCCCATTTATTTTATGATCTTCCTAATAATGCCTCTTTTTCAATAGTTAATGTCTTTAATGTTCTATCTAAACTTAATAATAATAAATCTATTGGACCAGACAGTATTCCTTGTAACTTTTGATTTAACGTAACTATTGAAAAATTTTTCTGACATAGACAAAAATCAGTCGGGGAACCGTTACAGCAGTTTTACGATACGCGCATTTTACCGTACGCACGTTTTTCGTCGACGACCACGAAAATACCACCGAGTCGAGCTAAATAAAATTGCATTTTTTTTTTTCGTATAACGTGTTTACAAATGTTATTTAAACACGATCGAAGCCGTTTTGATTTCGACGTACGACTTTACGATTTTTTCGTAAATATCATGTAGAAGTAGACCGTATTTATTTATTATTAAATTGTTAAATACATATGTATATGAAATTGAATATCACATTAAATTGAATTATTGTTTGTGCGAATAAAATCACATTGTAAAAAAAAATAATAAAGATGATGATAATAATAATAATAATTTTATTGGGCAAGAATTCCTTTGTCTAGTGTCGCCGTGGGCGAGTCCGGGCGCTCAACAGGAGGAATCGCAAAAGTCCGCTGGTCCACGCGATGACAGCGTTGTCGCAAGTAGAAAACACGGCGTTCCACTTCCACGATTGTTGCCACCACTTTTCCAGCGACAGCGCAAATGGTACGATCACTGTGTTCGTCTTGAGCGTCATGTTGTTGATTGCACAGGATCCCTTGGATAAAACAACACGGAAAACATAAAACAGTGAAATAAGCTATACGCTCGCCAGTCTTACGCACGATAGTTTTACGCTCGACAGCTTACAACCAATAGTCATACTTTTTAACACGCTTATATTAGTTTCACCTGTATGTATGTATGTTTGTAACTCTCCAAGCGCCACGCGTTATCGCATATTCCGTCGTCTATGGCCTTGAGACTAGACTGTCATAACGCTTCAACCCACCCTACGCCTCGCTCACCCGTAACGGCAACACTATTCCTGTATAAATTTATTTTTGGTTATCGTTCCCGTACACACGTGCGTGTCATCAATATTATATATTGACACGGTACCGTGTTTCCCTCAGCCGCACATCACGTTATCAACCTAAATGAAAGTGTATCGGTATCTGAATCATAAGTGCACGGTGGCCTAGTGGTCAGGTTTGTCTATACGACGCCTTGGGTCGCGGGTTCTAATTCCGTACCGTGCCTCTTTTTTAACACGCTTATATTAGTTTCACGTGTATGTTTGTTGTTTGTTTGTCGTTTGTCGTTTGTAAGTTTGTAACTCCACGCGGCACGTGTTATTATGTCGCGTATCCCGTCGTGTATGACTTTGAGACTATACTGTTGTAATGCATTCGCCCCACCCCGCTCACCACTCGTAGACAACAATATTTTCTAACCCGTAGACGCGCGCGTGTCATCAATTATGTATATATATAACAAATTTTTATTGTAATTGACACGGCCCGCGTCGTTTCATTATACACAATGCCCCACGACTCGTGCCACCTTTATCAGCCGTCGCCCTATTATGAGTATTTGACTGACCAACACCTCGCGTTATACGCCGCTGTGCAAAGTCCAGCAAGCGCCGCACGCCCGACGACATTCCGCCGCAAATGATACCGTAGTCTTCTTCCCGTTGTCAAAGTGACAACGTCTACGATTCGATCCGCACTCGCGCGCCGTCGCTATCAACGCTGCTAACCTGTTGACGTCCGAGGAACACGCCGGACAACGCGTCGTCGATGCCAGCGAAAGTGCCGCGATATTATGCGAAGATTATATATTCCTACCGCCACCGCTAATATTAATATATATATATATTAATATTTGTACGTATATGCGTATATGTTAATATTCATTTATATATTCCTACAGCCGACGCCTCTGCTGCCGTATATGCCTCGTGTATAATGTTCCCTCCGCCATGCCCGATCACATAAACACGGCTATACCTAGTGCATGATACGTTTACGTACTTAAGTCCCTTTAAATATATATATATTCTAATTACTATTAAAACTTATATATTAATACACTTTATTCTCATTAAGAGATATGTAGTGTATTCATTCCGATTACGGAGGATGATTCTCGTATTGTTATTTTTCGTCACTACCTCCACGTTACGCGCCTGCTGCTTTCNCTCCACGTTACGTGCCTGCTGCTTTCTTTGGATGTGGTAGCCGTTTTTTAGACTCCCTCTCCGGAATCGAACCCTTATTTCCCGTTACAACCATGATATTGATATTAACTACTATCATAAAATGAAACTAAAAAAGTGAAAAATAAATACAGTTTAAAAAAACTAAAAAACACGCTTTTAAAGTACATCGAACTAAAAAGTTAAAAATAATTTTTAAAATTAACTTAAAACAATAATGAACGAAAAATACTAGTATTATTGTGAAAAAAAGCGTGGGTGCTTTATGCCATATTTTTTGTATATTGAGCGCCTGACGCTTTTTTTCACAATAATACTAGTATTTTTCGTTCATTATTGTTTTAAGTTAATTTTAAAAATTATTTTTAACTTTTTAGTTCGATGTACTTTAAAAGCGTGTTTTTTAGTTTTTTTAAACTGTATTTATTTCACATGATTTCCGGTACACTTTCTATAATCGGCCGTCAATCCCCGGCGGCCGTGTTAATATATATAAACTAATTTTTATTTTGACTGACCAATACCATCCGCGTGCCATACGGCTTACGTATATATTCCTACCTCCGTTTATACCTCGGGTAAAACGTTAGTCCCACCCGCCCTCCCACAAAACACGGCTATACCTAGTGCATGATACGTTTACGTACTTAAGTCGCTTTACTTGTATATATATATATATTCTAATTACTATTAAAATTTATATATTAACACGCTTTATTCTAATTAAGAGGTATAAAGTATTCATTCCGATTACAAAGGATGACTCCCGTATCATCATTTTTCGTCACTACCTCCACGTTCAGGGGATGAGTAATTTGCGCGCCTGCTGATTTCCTTGGATGTGGTATCCGTTTCTCTGATTCCCTCTCTGGAATCGAACTCTGATTTCCCGTTACTCGTAACAACCAAGATATTGATAGTAACTACTATCATAACATGAAACTAAAAAGTGAAAAATAAATATAGTTAAAAAACTAAAAAAACACGCTTTTAGAGCACATCGAACTAAAAAGTTTAAAATAATTATGAACAAAAAATACTAGTATTCTTTATTTATAATTATTTTAAGCTTATTTTATAAATTATTTTTAACTTTTTAGTTCGATGTGCTTTAAAAGCGTGTTTTTTTAGTTTTTTAAACTATATTTATTTCATTGCACACAACAGCGGGCATGTGGTGTATCTGATGTCGGTGAAGAGCAGTATGGCTTTTTCGTTTCCGCAAAACTCGGCCAATTCGAAACTCCTGTAGTTGTCACAGTCCACGTAATACTTCTTGCATTTGATCAGGTCAACGCTCAGCTGTTGACGACGAAATTAAAATTACAAAAAGGCGTACGTCAAACGATAGCTGACCGCTATCACACTCACCTTGCACAGCACAAAGTTGACGTNATCACACTCACCTTGCACAGCACAGCACGAAGTTGACGTGGAACGTCATGACCGTTTTGAGAAAATCCAGTGCCGTTCGACTGGCTGACGTACGCTCGGTCGGCGCATCTGAACCCGTCGTTCAGGGCCAATTCGAATACGTCAAACCGGACGGCTGCTTTGGCGCCTCCAGGTAGACCCAGACAGTGCTGTCCGTTTGAACAAAAAAAAAAGATCTGTCAGTTATTGTTCAAACTGTTATTATCGTTAATTATAATGTATTATAATACATTATAATATTAATAATAATTACTCACAACCCATATACATATGAAACTAATATAAGCGTGTTAAAAAACCGCGATTGGCGGTCACTAACTCGTTAAGGTCATAAACGGATGCTAAAAACTCACCGCTCGCATACTCCACGGCCACGTCACGCAAACGACAAAAATGCTGAACGACCGCCGGAGCAACGAAGACGTTTCAAAAGGCATATTCTGTGCCCGGGTGATACGTGTGATGGGATTTGTAAACGTCTCCATGCGGCTAAGGTTGAATAAAAAAATTTAAAATAGGAATGCCGTACGTTTATTACGACGGGAAAACATTGATTTGCCTCGATTAACATTTATTTCACTCGATAATTATCGCACACACTTTTACAAATAACGTACGTTTTTCTGATCGTCGAACAAATCTCTTGTAATATCTATTGACTATAATGGATTAGGACTATCGCGCGATCCGTTACGGGATTAGTTGTACCTATTCCAATCCGTTCGTACCAGAGAAAATGTTATTGAGAATTTTTCGGATACGTTAGCTCGCTCGTTTTTTTCGCTCGAGTTTTCACAATTGGTCGAGCCGTTTTTGGAACCGACCACGACGGCGGTTCACCGTTTATGCGTTTCCATCACGGTTCGTTTTTTACGTGCAAAGAGTACACGCGCGCCGACACGACAACGAGTAATTGTGTTACACCTTTGAAAATATTCGGAAACGCTGGGGAAAAATCAACAAACGCGCGCCCGAAAATATCTCAACAGACTCACTCGTCGGCGTAAAATAATAGCGCGTACAAAATGGATTTTATCCACAGTCGGATAAAATACATTTTGTATTTATATATATATACATGTATATGTATTTATTTTGTTCATGATTCTCGGACGAGCGGAAAGTTTCACGAGTGCGTCGAACGACGTGCAACCGCAGGTAATTATGATTTTTTCACAACAATTCCCGTATTCTTACCCGTACGCGTCTATATGAACTCCGTGCGTCTCTTCGGTTTGTCAATGTCAGTACTGGAGATCGTCACAACGAATACGACTAACGATTCCACAACCGCCAACTGGTAGTACCGTATATAGATCGATCAACGAGTCACGAAAGCGTAGAGTCGATCGCTTTCGAAAATATAAACATACCCGACGACTACATTGTTGTTTTGGTTTGATATTTTATTTAAATAATAATAATTACCTCGTTAAAAAAAAAAAAATCGACCGATTACTTTTAATCTGATGGCGTGTTGATCACGAGCGAGCGCAATTTTAAACTGAATTGATTTTCATCGGTCGAGTGAACAGCAGTGTCTCTTCTCATCACGACGGGGCCTTGAATATGGTAAAAAGAAATAATGACAAACTAATTTTCAGTCATAACAGAGAGAGCTATACTCATTCTCAATCAGGGCTTGTTGTACACTTTATAACCAAGACGTGCACATGCAGTGCATAAAAGTATTATATAAGTGAGAAAATATTGTTTTATTCATTTATTACTTTATTTAATCGACAGAATAACGGCACTGTTCAATGTATACAACTGTATACAGTTAATTTTTTTTTTTTAATAAAATCGCCCGAAATATCGAGTATGTTTAATTTTGGAAATCAATCGACGACTCCGCTTGAAAATAAATTAAACAATTCGNCGACAAGGCGAACGCGCGTTAAGAGTAAACCGTCCACCTTGAATATGGTAAAAAGAAATAATGACAAACTAATTTTCAGTCATAACAGAGAGAGCTATACTCATTTTCAATCAGGGCTTGTTGTACACTTTATAACCAAGACGTGCACGTGCAGTGCATAAACGTATTATATAAGTGAGAAAAAATTGTTTTATTAATTTATTACTTTATTTAATCGACAGAATAACGGCACTGTTCAATGTATACAACTGTATACAGTTAATTTTTTTTTTTAAATAAAATCGCCCGAAATATCGAGTATGTTTAATTTTGGAAATCAATCGACGACTCCGCTTGAAAATAAATTAAACAATTCGTGTCATCAACCGGTCATTATTTTAACGATGGCAGTTGGTTGGTCATTGTAGAATAAATTGCCGTGAGCGATGACAATGGGGCGCATGCACGAGATAAGAGTAAATCGTTGTCCACCTTGAACATGTAAAAAAAACATGACGAAAAATAAAAACTAATAATGACTTTTAATAATTTGAAAAGAGTGTAGCCGCTGTCAATCGGCTCGTTGTACTCGGTGCACTCTACAACCAAGACGTGAACGCATATACGGTGCGTAAACACGTTGTAAAAAATTTTTTTTTAAATCTATTCAACAGTACAACGGTATCGTATTCAAAAGAATAAAATACAAACTATATACGGTTGAATTTTTTTTTTCAAATTTTAGCCGTGTAACACGTACACAATTTACTTTGCCCTTAATTTGCGTCCAATCGAAAAATGCGTTTCAAAGCGTCCGTTGACGTGTACTTTTGGCTCTTCTTTATCGCCACGATTTTATGGAATTTACAAAAAGTAAGTTTTTGTAGTAACAATTAGTACTCGACACGTACTAATTGTTTTTCTGAAACGGTTTTAGAAAATTAATAGACGGTTTTTTTTTTTTTTTTTTTTAACTAAAGGATCGTCTTCGTTGTTGTGAGGCTCTGCCCAGAGGCACCAGGTTGGCCGTTCGGTACAACAGATTCGAGTGGGTGATAAACGACAAGTTCGGACGTGTCGACGAGGTGTACGTCACTCAGTACAACGGCACCGATTTCGCCAACGTGGTGTTGACGTTCGACTTGAATTGTACCACACAGAAAGTGAGCGTTCTGTCGTAAGCCCGTTTTACTGCTCGCACGTTTAAAACATTTTAATTTTGCGTCATCCTTTAATTGTTGTAGATAAATATTGAAATAACGAAGTGCAAGGAGTATTACGTGGATTGCGCCAACTACAGGAGTTTCGAACTGACGCAGTTTTGCGGAAACGAAAAAGCCATAATGTTTTTCACCACGATAGGATACGCCAACCGCCAACTGCTGTGCATGAGCGGCAACGTAAGAGACCCCTCGCCTCACTCACCCGATTTGACGGTCGTGTTTTCGTCGACGATCCGTCGAAAAACCGATTTTGTTTGTCTGATTTGATTTTATTTGTCCCGCTTTTTGCACAGGGCACGTTCGTCATCAAGAACGCGACGTTGAACACGGACCGCGTGGTCGGAGCGTTCGCGCTGTCATTGGACAAGTGGTGGGAACAGACGTGGATGTGGAACTTCGTGTTCATCTCGCCACAGGGCCCGTATATCATGCGATTGACTGGACAACTCCGGTTCCTGTTGTTGAGCAAACGGCGGCGGACGTCTCGTCCCGGACAACATTAGAGACAACACATTACCGATCGGTTCAATTCGTTTGTTTTTATCGTGTATCACTACTACTGATAATGTAACATTGTCTATATTTGTGCGTAAACAATAATTAATAATTCAATATATGATAATTTTTTCAAATCAAATCAAAACTAATAAATTATTTAAATTTCATAGTTTTTTTTTTTTTTTATTGCTTCTACTGCTCCTGCTAATCCTGCCCCTGCTGCTGCTGATATCGGTTGTTATGTGTTGAGGTGGAACCCGATCCGGATGGAGTCGAATTCACCATAAAGGATAGGAGAAAAATTAAAAACAAAAAATATTTATTTCGCCTCTGCTATCTATTTCAATACTTTGCCTATCTTATCTCCGTTTCAACAATTTGCTTCTGTTATCCATTTCAACGTGTTAAAGCTTAAGCGTAAAGGCACAGACTATGATTAAAAATCCCTAAATCAGTCATGAAAATTAAGTAATTCTCAGTTTTTATAATGAAAATTATTAACTACTTAAATTTGACTTAGGCAGTTACAATTGTTTTTGATTCTGGACACGAATACAAATTAAAGGAGTTAGAGATGCGAGCTTCCTATTTTAGTAGGCTCTGAGGTAAAATTTCTATAGGAGAAGAAACAATTTTAAATAGTAATTGGAATCAATTTTATGTGTTATAATTATTACGTACTATCCGACAGGCAAAATTTAGGGCGTCTAGATACCTCTAATCTATTAACTTATGTATATTTTTTACCTATCCCAACCATGAATCTGTTTTAGCCCTGCACTAGTTAAAATGCAGGGTGCTATTGTCCTAGAACAAAAGACCTGGTGCACAAGTAGAAACCGTTACTTCAAATCATCCCTATTGTTAATCAACATTCCTGCTTCCCACTATAGCATACATTTCATGGTGTCTTCGATACTATCTATTTTGTGTAAGTTGACACTTGTGTTAGTTCTTTCGAGTGATCATAAGTATGACTTATATATGACAAATTTTCATTTAATTATTTATTATATCTAAATAAATTTAAATTTTATAAAAAAATTTAATACTATGAACAGTTTTAGTATTATTCATAACAATTTTTTAGATTTAATTTTAGATAACATATTTTTTTAAAGACAGTAGGAAATCATAGAACGTTGTTCAACTTCTGGACCTTCGACTTTCCTATCAGAGAGTGCATCGATTGATCAAAGTGGTTATGAATCTACTGCATCATCAAGTGATTCAATTATTCAAATTCTATTATACTAATCAAATAATACTCCAAAGAAACTGAAAATTGAAGACAAAACTACAATCTAAAAAACGTAAAATTAAGGAATTGGGTTAGATTATTGCTGATTTAACTGATCAACTTTCTAGGTATGACACAGTAGAATATTATATAAGACTAAGTAAGAAATATTTATCACCTACATTATTTACAATTGTTAAATCTCAAATAAACTTGAAGAACAAGAAAAAAGAAGGATGTCGTTATATTAATGAAATTAAACAATTATCTTTACATATTTATTTTTTAGGTCCGCAAGTGTACAAACTTATAAATTTAAAATTATGACTGGTGTTTGAACGGAACGCCCGGTAATGATGTACGGGTTAGTTACTATTCGTTTCTAGAGTATTTATATCATGCAGGAGAAAAAAGTAGGGAGTGGACTGTATAAATGAGTAAATGTATTGAAAAAATATGAAACTATAAACTGTATTTTTAATATAAACTAAAATATTATATATATATATCAATGTGGGTAGGAGGCCCTTAATGCTAATGCAACAATGTGTCAAATAAAACAAATAATAATAATAAAAATTAGATAAAACAATATGATTACAAACTGAGATGAGAATGAAATGCGAACGAAGTTGTTGGCATGACAATTGTACCAGGCAGAACGTACTATGGTGCGAATAGTACTTCAAGGTGTACGAATTTATTTCTCAATGTGCGTATCGCAAGGGCAATAAAAAATAACGCACAAGGGTGCGACAATCGCAAGGGCGATATGCAATCGTCTTTAACAATTACGTGCTCGCAAGCACCTTAAAACCATAAACAAAACGAGTTAGGGTGGTGGCGAAAGACACAAAATCACAGAAAGCGGACCGATAAGAACTCGGCGAGACACAAGAAATCACGTATGTGAGTATCCAACGTAATGACGAATCCCTCGCACAACCGGTGGTGGCAGCGCGAGTGGCGCTATCAGTCACAACAAATCTAAGAAAAATCGCCCTCCTGTGATGCATATCCAACAACTGGTATTAATGAAATTATTTTTAATATTCTTTCTTACAAAATTAATCATTTCACTGATATAGCTAAGGAATGTATATTATGTGCTGATGAGATGGCTTTAAAATCTAATTTCTATTATATGTTACAAAAAGATGAAATTATTTGATTTCATGAAACTAACAAAATTAAAACTTATTCTCTTGTAAAATATTCTTTTGTTCTAATGATAAGAAGCATTAATTTTAATTAGAAGTAGCCAATAGCTTATTATATGGTGTCAAACAGTTGTACCGGATTTGAACTACAAGATATTATTTTTAAAACAATTCAAATCTTTTTCAATTTGGATGAAATGTCAAAGCTTTTGTTAATTATATGGACTCTAATTTTGTTAGTTTTAGTAATACAGTTAATGTAACTCCGGCCTATCTTTATGGTTATGTTGGTGAAAAAAAAATTAGTTATATTTTTGACCCCCCACATTTACTAAAATCTACAAGAAATATGTTTTTTTTTGTATTATTTTTCATATAATAATGTAATAGAAAAAAATCATTTAATTTTTTTTTATGAACAAGATTCTAAGTGTAACTTGAAAATGGCCCCTAAATTAACTCATGCTCATATTTTTCCTGGCCCATTTAAAAAAATTATAAAAAATTTTTTTTGGAAGTTGAAGTATTCAGCGAAAGTGTTGCAGCTGGAATGAAGACGTATCTAACCACCAATAAATGACATTTTTCTTCTAAGTGTTCAATAGATTTTATTATTACGTTTTTTTTTACATTGAGGACTATTTTGTTGGAAAATTCAGCGATACCGTGTAATACTAATATTGTGAACATAATTTTTTGTATTTTGTATTGTTTTATTTTTTTATTTTTTTTACCAATATATATTTTTATTAATTTTTTTAATTTATTAATTTATAGTAATATATTTTTTTATTCAATAAAATATAATTTAAATAAATAAAATTTGTTGTTCAAATTAATATACAATACCTTATTTGATTTTGTACAATTTCCTATAGAGAACGAATAAATAATGTGTATTTGACTTGATTGATAAATAAATAACAGCAAGTACATCCTAAAAAGTTAAAATTTAATCTAGATTGTACATCATAATGACAACCAAGTGTACTTACCAAAAATTACAGCTTCATATATTATATATAAAACTAACTAAACGTTAACAAAATTAAACACAATATTCAAAATGTCAGATAATATTTAAAAATACATTATTATTAAGACAAAACGTTGTAAAGCTCAAACAAAGTTTAAAATTAATTTATTGATAGAACACATAGATTTGAATTAATTTTTTGAATATAATCAATATTACATATTCTTATAGTAATAGGTTTAATTTTGACAGATAAGTAATAATAAAAAAAAACATAATTAAATTGATTATTTGAAAAAGGTTTTGGAAACATGGAAGTTATGTAAACCATCCATTATGGACTCAACGTTCAAAGAGATTATTATACCAGTTACCGTTATTTATTTAAAGTAATGTCCAAATTGCAGTCCGCCACAATGTCTCGTTCCATGATTGAGAGAACCCTTCAAGTAATTAAAATGCAATAATGTTTCAAATTCCAATATCATAGATAATATTTATAACTGATAGAGGAATATATAGTAATAATATAGTACAATATTATTGTAAAATATTTGCACAATAATGTGAAATTGTACAACAGTCTTTACTGATTTGTCTGCTACCCAATCAGAGAGCTTGAAAAAGAGGTGTTTCCAGTCACTCAACGCTGCCGCCGCATTTAACGACTGAAGACGATTTTTTGAAATATAATCGGTTTGAAAATATAAATCCATTAATTTAATTGGTCGTACTGGTTGTTATTTCAACCAGCGTACGTGTACGTGTACATATATTACGACGGTGGTTACGGTTATCTACGAGCAATAAACGGCCCCGTGATATACAAGGGGCGAACGCGAGATAAGATTCACTTTTATGAATCCACCATAAATATGCAAAAAAAAACTAGAATGAAAAATAATGACAAATTAAATTGCAGTCGTTGCACAGAACACGACGATAACGATTGACTCGTCGTAATTCACTTACGAACAAGAAGCATAAGGTTTTTGGAAACGAACATGGGCAAGAAGAAATTGTTTTTTATAAAACGTAATAGTTTATTCGACAGTAAAACAGAAGGCGAATACGCGTATAAAACTCGTACGTCGGTCGGCAAAAGAAAAGTTGAATCGCACACAAATTCGTGTCGATTTTGCGCGTTTGAATACAGTTTAATTTTTTGTTATCTCGAACGCGTAAAAATAACCACGTTCCGCTAGATTTTTGTTAATCAAAAAATGCGTTTTAAAGCGTCTGTCGCATACTTTTGGCTTTTCGCTATCACCGCGATATTTCCGTAGAATTTATGAAAACTGAGTTATCCTCCTGCTCACCATACGCCTAGTCACATGAGAGTTTCAAAAATTAATAAATGGTTTTTTTTTTCAAATCAAAATTATTGTTCTGCTCTACCCAGAGGATTTTCAGTTCGAATTACTCTTATCACGCGTTCGGCCCGTCGTGTTATAGCGGAAAAAAAACCTTATCGTTTTTGGGGAATTTATTGTACTGGTCGTTTTGGATATCGTTTTTCAGAAACCAACGAAATCCGTCCGGACCCCTACACCGAAGCTCAAAGCCAAACGAAACGTGAGGTTTTATTTTTTGTTTTTGATTACCACCGCCTGTCGAGTACTTTAGCCAGCCAGTCAAGCTCGGAGTAGGTGTGCCACTCCGAAAGCGGAGACCCATCCCCTCCAACGGTTACACCGCTTATTAAGAGTGTTTTTCAATATATTTTCTTGAAAGGAAGGAGGAGAGACACTGCTGCTCACTTGACCGTTCAATTCAGTTTAAAATTGTGCTCGCTCATGCACAACACATGCCATCAGATTAAAAGTTATCGATCGATCGATTTTTTTTTTTTTTTTACGAGGTAATTATTATTATTATTATTTAAATAATAAATCAAACCAAAACGACATGACCAATTGTGAAAACTCGAGCGTAAAAAACGAGCGAGCTAACGTATCCGAAAAATTCTCAATAACATTTTCTCTGGTACGAACGGATTGGAATAGGTACAAGTAATCCCGTAACGGATCGCGCGATACTCCTAATCCATTATAGTCAATAGATATTACAAGAGATTTGTCCGACGATTAGAAAAACCTACGTAATTTGTACAAGTGTGTGTGATAATTGTCGAATGAAATAAATGTTAATCGAGGCAAATCAATGTTTTCCCGTCGTAATAAACGTACGGTTAACGACATTTTTTATTTTTAATTATTTATTTATTATTTTTTAATTTTTTTTTCAACCGCTGGAGACGTTTTAGCTCCCGTCTCATGTTTTACCCTGGCACAGAATATATCTTTTGAAACGTGGTCGTGGAGTTTGCAAGCGATGAGTTTTTAGCATCCGTTTATTACCTTAACGAGTTTATAACCGCCGGTCGCGGTTTTTATGAAAATATATATTTATTCTATCATGAATAAAATATATATTGTATTCTTGATACAATTGTCGTACATTATAATTTACGATAATAACAGTTTGAACAATAACTGACAGATCTTTTTTTTTTGTTCAAACGGAAAGCACTGTCTGGGTCTACCTGGAAGCGCCAAAGCAGCCGTCCGGTTTGACGTATTCGAATGGGCATTGTACGACGGGTTCGGACGCGCCGACTGAGCGTATGTCAGCCAGTCGAACGGCACTGATTTTCTCAACACGGTCATGACGTTCCACGTCAACTTCGTGCTGTGCAAGGTGAGTGTGCTAGCGGTCAGCTATCGTTTGACGTACGCCTTTTTGTAATTTTAATTTCGTCGTCAACAGCTGAGCGTTGACCTGATCAAGTGCAAGAAGTATTACGTGGACTGTGACAACTACAGGAGTTTCGAATTGGCCGAGTTTTGCGGCAACGAAAAAGCCATACTGCTCTTCGTCGACATCGGATACACCACTTGCTCGCTGTCATGTGCAATGAAAAAAGTAATACTATTGGTTGTAAGACCATCGAGCGTATTTCACGTAGCTTATTTCACTCTTTTATGTTTTCCGTGTTGTTTTATCCAAGGGATCCTGTGCAATCAACAACATGACGCTCAAGACGGACACAGTGATCGTACCATTTGCGCTGTCGCTGGAAAAGTGGTGGCAACAATCGTGGAAGTGGAACGCCGTGTTTTCCACTTGCGACAACGCTGTCATCGCGCGGACCAGCGGACATTTGCGATTCCTCCTGTTGAGCGCCCGGACTCGCCCACGGCAACACTAGACAAAGGAATTCTTGCCCATTACAATTATTATTATTATTATCATAATCTTTATTATTATTTTTTACAATGTGATTTTATTCGCACAAACAATAATTCAATTTAATGTGATACACAATTTCACACTAAATTTATTAATTATTCAATTATTATCAATTCAACATCATCAACAATTAGACCTGATTAACAATTTAGATTGACGATTAAATGTAATTTTAACAATTCAAAGCGATCAACGATAGTATTGACAATTTTTCGTCAGATCCGGTCAAAACCAATGAACACAACATCGTAACAAGTTTGTTAGAACGTGTAGTAATACAAAAATAACAAAGGTGATTGGGTATTATTAACCAATGTTGGATATTTGGGGATTTGGTGAATTCAGGAGCAACGAGGTTCTATCGGGGTTGTAGAGTCCGAGGGCTTAGACAAGTAGATATAAAAAGATATGTATTAAGTTCCTCTCATAGAGGTATTAAAAATGAACTAACTGGTAAGTACCTGAAATAATACACTGGGGCAACAATAGGTGGTGGCCATCTCACGAATACCATGTACTTTACATTTAATCACATTATATATAAGGTACGAACTAGTCAGTAACAATTAATAATGTTTGAAAATAAATATAAATACATGATATATTGCTTTACTCAGATTATTAATTCTAAATAATTGGGTTAGTATAAATTTACTTACTTCTTTTATATGGCTTGTACAAAGATCGTCAAGGTTTGCGTAAAGATTTATAGTGTCTCTTTTAAATAAATAAAGTGTTAACGCAAAATAATTGTATTCGATATCGCTTTAAAATGTACCGACGACAATGCGGGGTCGCGGCTAGTTTGATCAAAATAAAACAGATAGAAGAATTCTGAATTCTTCAATTCAATTCAGATCTTCAAAAAGGAGAGAGAGCCGTTCGCTGGTACGCTCGCTCACTGATGTGCAAGTAGAACTAAGCCTTTTTATATCATTTTTAATTACCCTCATCATGGGTTGTTGTCGTCAGCGCTTTTAGTGATTCTCAATTTATTGTATTAAATTGAACATAACATGATAGTTATTTTAAGATAAGATGTATATACATATATAATAGCTAGTGTACAAATGTGTATATGTTATGACAGATAAATTAATTATTTGTTTGTATACAATTAGTATTCAATATAGAGTAATAATTTTTTATTTTCTATTTTAAATTTAATTTTAATTTTCTATTCAAAACGCTGCCGTCTGTCATCGTCTGGCCTTGACTTACACCCATTACATGCCTTTTCTCTCGTCTCTGTGACGTTCACGTTTTTTATTTTTTGATGAAAAAAAAATTGATCATTCGTTATTATTTATCATTAATTATAAATTATTATTGTTAATTATAGTCTCCCCCCCCTATAAATACGGTCTACTTCTATACGAGTCAATTATTTGTTTATGCGAGTAAGCAAATCTCGTCCGCTCAAAAGTAACGCGTACATGTCTCGTTTAAGTGTTGACAAAAACAATGCGCATATACTTAATAAAAAAAAAAAATTTGTCAAAACTAGATGAAAAACCAACACGGATTTCAGCGGAAATTCCCAGGGCACCTATTGTGTGTATGTGGGAGGAGTGAATGTCTCTGGGTATTTAATTTCACGTTTCGAAATCGACGAAACGTTGGCGGTGGTGGCGACGAGCGTATTCAATGGAATTTTTAGACGTTAGTAGATATAGTGTAGAGGTTATCATGACAAGGTCAAGAACGATGACGTCACAAGGCCATGACGTCATAAGGATGACGACGTAGTTGTGTCCTAACAGTGACATGATGTCCTATAAAAGCGAAGACATTCTGTCCTAATATGGTTATAACGGCTAAAATCGTGTTTGTACCGCACACTCTATGACTCTCGTACGTCATCAAAATCCGTATATCGTTGTGTGACCCTTACTACTCTTGACACTACTAGTATTTTGTTTTACTTTAGCGCTATTACCCATGCCGCAGTACTGGTACTTTAAAAAAATATATCATTTTCCAGAGTGGGTACGTACTAATCCTAGTAATAATAATAAACTAATGATTTACGATATTTCAATATTCACGTACATTACAGTATTGACAATTCATAGTCAATATTATTATTAGTAATTACATACAGTGTAGAGTGGGTCAAAAAAAGTCTATCTTCAAAATTTTAATGAGTACCATTTTAACTTTATTTTATATATTAATGAAGTCATTTTGTGAAGATTTTAGATTTTTAAAAAAAATTTTACTGGTCGCACAACGTGTTTTTAGTACTTAGACCAAAAACTAAAAAATTGCGTCTGTTATTCAATTTTTGGTCAAATATTATGATTAGTTTATCAAAATAGTTTAATTTTTACGGTAAAATACAAATTTTTTAGTTTTAAAATTTTAAGGAGAAAACTAATAGCGTGGATATCATAATTAACGTCATTATATGGTATATGTCTAGTAGGTCTTTGGTAAGCTTAAACATTTTTTTTTTTTTATGCAATTTGGCTGATATTTATGTATATTTTAATTAAAAAAAAATTATTCACTAATCTTAAAAACTTATGCTTTTTTTATATAAAGTGTAAGCTAAACTATATGACATTCTTGAAAATATTAAGTATTGACGGTTGATCATCAAATAATTTTCAATTTTTTTTTTTTTTTACTAAAATATTTATGTATGGATTTATTTTGATTAATTTGTATAATTATTTTAGTATTTTCAGTTAAAGTTTTTCCAAAATTATTATTATTTATATCTCAAATCGATCGGGTAGTTCTAACAAGAATTTTATTATAATCTGAAGTTTTAGTACTAAAGATTAATTTTAGAAATAAATAATTTACTTTTTTTGTTTAAGAAATTGATCTATGATGAATTAGCGATTGAAATATCAGATACAGTAGTATTTCATTTTTAAATTAATTCACTTCTTATGGTGATGTTTTATTTGTTATACGATTTTACATTTAAATGTTATGAGTCAGTTTTCGATCGCACCTGTATTAATGGCTTTGAATAAAGATTTGACTAATAGATATTAGTTCTTTTGCCATACTTTGAAAATATAAAAAATTAGCTAAAACAGAACCTTTTAATGGGAACTTTTGGGCAATAATTTTTTATTTGTCGTAATTGTTATACGATGAGATTTGATCTTTGATTTTTCCATTATACACTAAAATTAAACTAAACGTAAATTTTACTAAAAATATAGACTAAAAATTGAGTTACAAAGACATTTTACGTAAAAAATATAATGTTATGGCTTAAATTACAGTTTATATTAAAACTGTATTAGTATTGAAATAATTATATTATGATGTAATTATATTCATATCAAAAATTAATTTTATTAAATCTATATGTAATTTATTATTTCTTACTTAATATTATAATATTAAAAATTATTTAAATAAAACTAAAAACGTTTAAAATTTTACTATTAAAATTAAGTAAACCTGTGACTTTACATAGATTTTCTAATTTTTAATTAAATTAATACTAATGTATAATTTTATCATAACATAAAATTGTATTCTTATGTTATTTATTATATTTAGTATTAATGAATTGTTTGATAAAAATAAATAATTGAAAAATATTTGATGATCAACTGTCAATTATAAATATTTTTAAGAATACCTAAATTGTTAGTTTCACCACAATCATAAATATTTTCTAATTATATTTTTAATCATATCAAATCATGAGATAATTATCTTATGGTATAATATTTTAGAGCAGCTTTTAACACTTAATAACTGCCAAGCTAATCAAAATGAATAAAATTGTGTCATAGTTTTTGTATTTCGTAGTTCTTAAGAAATAATAGTGATAATAATTATTTAAAATATAAAAAATTTTTGTTTTCTAGGTCAATCAATTTGAAAATAATTATGTATTTGAGATTTCGAATAATTTGTCTTTTGAAAGGAAAAATAAGCTCAAAAAATACCATATTATTAAACACCTGTTTTGCTTTATAAAATGACAATTTTAGAGTAAATACAATATATAATCTTACATTTACGATAATTATAGTGAGCCAAAAGTAAGGTTTTAGTTATGATATAATAAAATAAATAAAATTGGGTGTATTGATTAATTAATTTGAATTTTTGAGCACTTGAATAAATTTAATCATCTTACTTTCGGTTACTATAATTCAGTTTGTTTAATATTATTGGGGTCGTGGAGTCCGAGGGTTTAGAGAATGACAATACAATCAAATAAAAGGGTTATTATGAGTATTGAAATTTAATGCATGTATCAAATTTATAAAATTTGGTAAATCATTTGAATAGTCTCACGTTTCAAAGGCACGAGCTTTGGTCGGCAAACTATGAAACGTAATAAGAAAAAGCGTAGGTACGATCTTTGGTCAAGCACTTCGAACGCATTTAATAATTCTCCTGACAAACCAGTTAATGAATTTAATATATGTAAAGATAAGTTAATTATTATTGCTTTTTCATTCTCTTCTCGGATTAAGTAATTCCAAATTATTGGAATGACAATGTGTCACCTACTTTGTAATGTTTTCTGCGGAATTGAAATGAACAAAACTGACAAATTCTTCTTTTTGAATATTTGAGAGACTGGTGGTCAATTGCTGTGTTTAATTCTTGACTTAAAAAATGGAATGAGTGAGTTGAGCTAAGTGAGTCCATTGTATAGCTTTTTACGGTTTTTTATATGAAATCTATGATCTATATATGTCACCAAAATGTAAGAATTGACCACTAGGGCTCTCATCTTTATTGAAACGAAAATTATAAGCAGGGATAATATATTACATTGGTTATGGTACATTTGATTTGTCTTATGGATACTGTTACTTAATACATTGTCTTTGTAGATTAATTTACAGTGTTTACATTTATGATACAGATATTAATCTTAAACTGAACAAGTATATACATTGTATTAAATACATCAGTGATTATGCTATGATATCAATTTAAGATAATTATTTTATTTTGTGATAAACATTGCGATTAATATTAAATTTGAGCGATGAACTGTATCACAACATAATATATCAAAATTAAAATTGTTGAAAACGTAAATAAAAAAAAATATAGTTCTAAAGTATCTAATTTGAGTATTTATTAATATTTTCAAAATATATATTTTAGCTTACACTTTATTTTTTAAAAGTTTTATCAGGAAATTCCTTTGAGCCTTCAAAATCGAGACGCAAATCTACAGTGGACGATTTGACGGTATCTTTTTGATTCGAGCACTCGATTACAACTATAAGGCCTATGGCTTTGTAGTTGACGCGATCCAAAAAAGGAGGAGTTTAACAAACCGTAATACATTGTTTGGAATTGAGCTTACGAGTCGTAAAACATTGTGTATCGAAATCCGCATTTGGTTTTAGGGATAAAATTCACCGTGAACCTGTTCGTTGTAATTATTTCCTGAATCATAGCAATCAATAAATACCTAGGTTTTTCAACAGAGAACATACGCACCGGCCACGTGTTAACAGTTGTTTTCGGCAATAAAGAGTACACCGCGGTGTCCCAATGCTGATACTCTAATGGCAACCATTTTTTACTTTCGCATACGTATACGCATCAGACCCAATTCAGTTTTTATATTTGGTTCGAAATGCTTTACGACCCATTTTATTTTTGTTATTTTCACTTTGATCTGTTTGATCAATGCAATATTTTCTTTAACTTTTTTGCGCTTCATTTGGTAGCACGAATCATAAGGCATAATTTTCGGTACTGAATCGAAGCAATACAAGCCTCTGAATACAGTTTATCAACATAGGACAGTGTTTTTCGAAAAAACACGTGTACAATGGACATTAGGCTACAAATTCGGAGTCATCCATAAATTACGATTTTCGTGAATTTTGTTTGCATTTTTCCATCCAGCCGGTTGTCACCATACCATGTCGTTGGGTGAATATGACAGAGACGTTTCATAGTTGTAATTACACTGACTTTTTTCACCTTATCCATTTCATTGCCTTCATTTTGAACCTAATTTCGTTGAATAGCTGCATCATACATTTTTGAATTCATGATGACGTCACCCGCTATTCCCAAGAGTTTTTCCATTTTACCTTCCATTTGTAGGTAACTTTCACATGGTATCGTAAATTTTTCCCATTACGCATTTCAATGGATATCATCGTTGTTTTTGTACGAATTGTTGTAACTTTGATGATCATGGTAATACTCTCGTTTGACGCTGTCGTTCTCTTGATATTTTCAATGAAATGCAAATAATCTGACATTGTTTATACGCGACAGCTCAACAATTTTAGAAATTCGATATTTATTAGCATCAGCGATTTTTCGATGACAACACACGGTTTACTCGTTTTACGCTTCAAATGCATTTGACAGAATCGCCAATGCGATGTGTTAACATCTTCACAGAAGTTGGTATGTTTAGCGTTTTAAAATTTCGACCGTTTTCAAGAAAAACGCTCGCTAACGCCAGCGTTTTACGACTTAAGGTTAGAAATTTTCATCAGACCCACCCAATGATATTCCTGAGATATGATAAAATAAATATAGTTTAAAATACCCAGCACAGGAGGGTCGTGGCACAGTGGTGACGTAGCATATTTGGATCAAGTATAATGATATCTGACAGTAATAAAAATCTCTATCAAAAAAAAAAACACTGCGATGCAAATCTTAAGATAATGTTTAATTTTAAAAAAATGGTGGATTATTCCAAAAGCTACATGATCTGATAGTTCCTTATTAATATCTTTATTAAGATAAAGTACGTCGAATGAAAAAGGGATATAAATATTATTTCTCATAAAAATATTATATTGATCAATACACTTTTCAATAAGTTATAGCAAAATAAAGTTAAAAATGTAAAAAATAAAATTGAGAATATTCACACAATAATAGCATTTGGTAGCCATTTTCACCGTGAAGACAATATAAAATTCGAAATTTTTTTTCCCATAATAAAGTACATTACATTAGCTTTAATTTAAGATATATATAAAAGTATCAGACTTTCCGCAACACTTTCAAAAGTTAAGTTGAAAAAATAAATTTTTTGTGAAGAAGTTGTCATTTTGAATCCCCCCCTGTAGGCAGGTAAAGAATCAGATTTGTAAAAAAAATGTACCAAAGGATAGTTAAAGACATCATGCATCCATAAAAAAAAGAATTATATTAATCCATACATTTTTCAAAAAGTTATAGCCTTATAAAGTTAAAAATATAAAAAAGAATTTTTTTACAAAAATCGTATTTTATTTATTAACTTTGATGTCTGTTTTCACCATGAAGATAAAATAAAGTCCGAATTTTTTTTTTTCCATAATAAAGTATATTACATTAGCTTTAATTTAAGAAATATATAAAAATTTCGGACCTTCCGGAACACTTTCAAAAGTTAAGTTGAAATAGTTGTCATTTTAAATCCCCCCTGTGGGGAGGTAAAGGGTTAAATTTATGAAAAAAATATAACAAATGATAGGTAAAGACATCAAGCATCTATAAAAAAAAATATTATATTAATTTGTTGATTTTTAAAAAAGTTATGGCAGTTTTTAGTAAAAAAATTGAAAAAATTAGGTATTTTATAATTTGCAATTTTTTTGGAGATTTCCCTCATTTACAGGGAACGAGGGAAATTTTTTCAATATTTGAGGGTAATGTCTTCGACTAGATACGTCTTGTGATCTTTGACGTATCATTGAAAAAAATCGGTTCGGTGAGAGCTGAGAAAAAGGGGTAACAGAAACTTTCCCAAAAGTTGTAGCAATATAAATTTANAACAGAAACTTTCCCATAAGTTGTAGCAATATAAATTTAAAAATATAAAATCGAAAATATTTTCACGAAAATCGTACGTTTTTCTTTAACCTTGATGTTCATAGTGAAAAATATGAAGTCCAGAGGTAAAATTTTTTTTTATCTATAAAAAAAATTATAACGATTTGGTTATTTTTATTAAAGTTATGGCAATTTTACGTCAAAAAAATTGCAAAAATGTCGAAAATTAGGAATTTCTAAATTTTTAATATTTTTGGGGATTTCCCCCGTTTACGGGGAACGAGGGAAATTTTTTCAATATTTGAGGGTAATGTCTTCGACTAGATACGATTTGTGATCTTTTGACATATCATTGAAAAAAATCGGTTCGGTGAGAGCTGAGAAAAAGTGGTAACAGACAAAAAAAAATACGCTTTCAAAATACATCGAACTAAAAAGTTAAAGATAATTAATTTTTAAAATTAAAATTAAAACAATAATGAACGAAAAACACTAATATTATTGTGATAAAAGGGTGCTTTGTGCCATATATTTCGTATATTGAGCGCACGACGCTTTTATCACATTAATACTAGTATTTTTCATTCATAATTATTTTAAGCTTATTTTAAATATTATATTTAACTTTTTAGTTCGATGTGTTTTAAATGCCTGTTTTTTATTTTTTTTAAACTATATTTATTATTTAAAAATTTTCATTTTTAATAAAAATGTAGAATTAAGAATATACAATTAATTTTCTTCTTTTAATTAATTTTAGCAGGAGGGGCGATCGTTCCGTCGTCAATGATCCTTCGGAATCAAGTAGTTTTTTATAATTCACCGAACGCCGCCGGGTCGCATTATAATTGTTTGAGCATTGGGGATCTTGATTTTTTTTTGTCACTCGTTATGGGGGTGTTTCTCAATAGCGCCTATAAATTTGAAGAAGAAAAATTAATTTTTTTAGTAGTAGTAGTAATAGTAGCTGTATTGCAAAAAAAATTAAATTTTTTGTGTTTAAACACGCCATAGGCATAACACGCTGAAGTCGCAAGCGACAATGCAAACACAACTTATTGATTTTGTTGGTAAATTTTTCATCTGTTTGTTTAGTGTGGTTTAAAAAATAAACGCGCCACGATAATCCATGCAAACATTACAGCATTATAATTTTTTATCGTTAAATTTATTGCTGTAATATTTTTTTTTTTAGCATTAAACACGCTGTATTCAATTANATTTTTTATTGTTAAATTTATTGCTGTAATATTTTTTTTTTTAGCATTAAACACGCTGTATTCAATTATATTTTCCCTTGTGTGTATATATATATATAGCTATCAAAATCGTTGGATATCATTTAGATATCATCGTTTGAGCTTTTTTGTCTAACGACCGTTGAATATCCTACAAGTGACGTCAAAAAATTTAACCGCGATGAAATCAACATTGTTGTCGTGTTCGATCGCCGTAACGCTTCTCACGGTCTGTTGTTTGTCCAACGCGTTTGATTGGGAAAAATATTCCAACGGTGAACTCATAAAGTCTGAGCTGATATTCAGCGATCCCATTAACGTCGTATTCGGCACGATAAATGACGGCTTTATCGAAACGAGGCAGTATATGATGGCCGCGAAAATCAGGGCGTACAAACTGCTGTACATGTTTGTAGGCTATTGCAAATTCAGGCTTCCATTTGATTCGTCGAATGAAATGAGGATCCTAATTAGCGCATCAACGAGTTACGTCATCAAATTCATGAAACATCATAATACGGACATTTCCGATCTGGAGACACTCTTGGACGACACTATTTTGAATTCTGAGAACGCGGACTATACTCTGCTCAATTCGTTGCAGAAATTCGAAAATGGCGTTTACGAGTTGTTGTTTAACGACGTGACAATATTCAATATGACGGTGTTGGGGGTGACCCCGGCTAGACATTTCGAAAAATCGCTCGAGTTAGCGATAAGATGGTGGACGTTTTTCAACAACTCAGAGGACGAAGAAATTTTGAAAACTTACATCCCCGCGAGATACTCATACGAAAGGGACACTTCTGAAGCGGTGAATTATTTTTACAATAAAATCATAAAAGAGCACTTGATCGAGCAGAAAAAAAAGGAAGAAGAAGAAGGTAACGAAATAAATGCCTTGGAATATGATATCGTTAATGCGTATCGCCGAGAAAAAAAAAGACAGAAACGCGAAAAAAAAAATTAACCTTATAATTAAATAAAAAAATTTCACTCTTAAATTGTTTAATTAAAATTATAATTCATTGTATATTTAATACTTATAGCGTGGGAAGTAAAATTGTATTCATAAGATATAACACGTTGTAACTTATGTACATTGATTAAAGTAATAATAAATCACACGAATCTATAGAGTAATTTTCGTTGACTTTTTATTATTCCAATGTAGATTTTCTGTCATAGTAACGTCGTATAAAATACGGTATGCATTGCGACGGTACTTTTGGACGTCTGTAACGGACGTTGTCGTCGTCCGCACCGCAGAAATATTTTTACTCCGTCGTACACCGTTTTTTTTTTGGGGGGGGAGATGTACGGTGGAATGAAACCCGAGCATTCGGTGTATGATTGAGAAATAAAACCCAGTACGGGGGGGTCGTGGCACAGTGGTGACGTGGCATAGTTGGATCATTAGGGTGGCCCTCAAAAATCGAATGTCTTTTTTTTTTTACGCTACCCCTTAATTTTTTTTTAATGGTCAAAAAAATGAGCTGTGCAAAATTTGGGACCAATCCGTTAAGGTTAACCCGTGCCTCCGGGCCTATTAAGTTAAGACGAAGAGTCAAATTTAATAGAAATAACTGATCTATGTCTCATAACTTTTTTTTATCTTACCTTAGAATTATAAAAGTAAAAGTCAAGTAAAGGGAATTTTAGAAGAAATTCAAAAATAATAACTTCAATGCTGTTTTCTCAATAAATAGCCCACAAAAACACTGCTTACAGTAAAAAACATGTAAAAGTCTTAAAATACGTTATAACTGATTTTGTTGATTTTTAATTATTTATTTTAATTTTATTTTTTGGAAAACGCATATTCGTTAAAAAAAAGATTATAGAAGTTTAATTTTTTATGCCAAGTACGATAATTATATTAGATTTATTATTTTATGGACAGTTAATTAATGATTAATTACAAATTTAATAAAATTTATTGTATTATTACATTTTGTCGTATCGATATATCAATTTTGGTTTACTGAATTACTTTAAGGTAGTACCAATTATATTTTTATCAAAGATAAGTATATTTGAGTTATTTTCGACAACTGACATAATTTGTGTTGTATAAATGCAGCAGACAATTTGTAAACATATAAATATATTTTACCTGTTTATTATTATATATTAAATGATACGTTTTAATCACAAATATACAATACTTTTAGCGTCTTTTAAAGTATTACGAACTCTTATTTATCTTATTGGTATTTATTCCCACGAAATAACTGGTAGTCAGATACGATCAAATTTACAACTATTTAACTATTGAACACTGATTTTTTGAAAATTGATCCATCATTTTGGAGTGCGAACAACAGTTACATAAATGCTTTAAATACTATAAGTAAATTACGAGTCTTTAATGATACAGCCTAGCATGGAATTAAATTAATCTAAGACTACATTAATATATTAACTAAAAATGAAGGACAGAAACAATACGTTTTACAAATAGTAAGTAATTATCGGAAAAAATTTCCTAATTGTAAAAAAAGTACATTATCAGAAAATATATTATAATAATATAATTTAATTATTGTTAAAATATTTTTTTTAAAGTTATTATTATTTAAAAAAAAATAAATTAAAAATTGTTAATAACAATTAAATTAAACTGTTAGGTTTGTAATTAATCATTAATTAACTGTCCATAAAATAATANGTTTGCAATTAATCATTAATTAACTGTCCATAAAATAATAAATCTAATATAATTATCGTACTTGGCATAAAAAATTAAACTTCTAGAATCTTTTTTTAAACGAATATGCGTTTTCCAAAAAATAAAATTAAAATAAATAATTAAAAACCAACAAAATCAGTTGTAACGTATTTTAAGACTTTTACATTTTTTTTTTCTGTATGTAGTGTTTTTGTGGGCTATTTATTGAGAAAACAGCATTGAAGTTATTATTTTTGAATTTCTTGTAAAATTTCCTTTACTTGAGTTTTACTTTTATAATTTTATGTTAAGAGAAAAAACAGTTATGAGACATAGATCAGTTATTTCTATTAAATTTGACTCTTCGACTCAACTTAATAGGCCCGGAGGCACGGGTTAACCTTAACGGATCGGTCCCAAATTTTGCACAGCTCATTTTTTTGNTATCAAATTTTGCACAGCTCTTTTAGTATTTTACCATGTTCTGTTGTATCACTCTCCAAAGTCTACATACCTAAGTTGTGGAATCTTAGTGCTGTAGCTTTGGCGTGAGCTTTCACCTCTAGATACAGAGAAGGCAATCTAATGCGACCGTTGGTGTAGTTCTTAATGCTCCAGTGATGACTATGGCAACCATTCTTTGTATACGACTAAATTCTTTCCTAGCTGTAACTAGTGTTGTTCTGTTCCAACAAACTAGGGCACCGTATAATATCATAGGTTTAATCACTGAAGTGTACAACCAATACATAACTCTTGTTTTAAGACCCTATGTCTTTCCCAAGGCTCTGCTGCAAGTCCACACTGTGATTATTGCTTTTTTGATTCTTGACTCAATATGTGATTTCCATTTTAGCTTACTATCCAAGATAATACCTAAGTATTTTACTTCCGATTTTAAGCTAATTTCTTGTCCATTCAGAGTAAGAGTGTCAAGACTGTCTAGTTCTATTCTCCTTCTAGTGAACATAACAACCTCTGCTTTATTTGGATTAACAGATAGACTGTACCCACTACACCATATCTGTATAGTGTTAAGTCTCTGTTGTGCTAAGTCAATAATAGTGTCTGGGAATTTACCCAACATTGCTATAACCAAGTCATCCGCATAGGCTTGTGTATAACAATATTTGATTAACTCTCTAATAATCGAATCCAATACTAGACACCATAGCAAGAGGGATAGAACCCCTCCTTGTGGGTATCCCTGTTTAACACTCTTGATTACTTTGGTCTCATTAAGCTGTCCCAAAATGGAGCGTTCTTTAGCATGGTTTTTATCCACTTAGTAATAAGTGGTTCTATTCCATGCTGTTGTGCAGATTCACACATAGCATCGAAGGGAGTATTGTCAAAAGCCCCTTTGATGTCCAGGAATATACCTACTGCATACATTTCATTCTCTACAACTTTCACTATCTTAGTGGTTAAGCAGCGTAGAACTGTATCAGTAGATTTCCCCGTTTGATACGCATGTTGGTTTTCATGTAAAGGGTTCTCCTTAAGAGGCCCCTCCTTTATGTACCTATCAATAAGTTTCTCCATAGTCTTAAGAAGAAAAGAAGTAAGACTTATTGGTCTGTAGGATTTTGCTGTATTACAAAAAAATTTTAATTTTTTGCGTTTAAACACGCCTTTTGCATAACTCGCTGAAGTCGCAAGCGACAATGCAAACACAACTTATTGATTTTATTGATAAATTTTTCATCTGTTTGTTTAGTGTGGTTTAAAAAATAAACGCGCCACGATAATCCATGCAAACATTACAGCATTATAATTTTTTATTGTTAAATTTATTGCTGTAATATTTTTTTTTTTAGCATTAAACACGCTGTATTCAATTATATTTTCCCTTGTGTGTATATATATATATAGCTATCAAAATCGTTGGATATCATTTAGATATCATCGTTTGAGCTTTTTTGTCTAACGACCGTTGAATATCCTACAAGTGACGTCAAAAAATTTAACCGCGATGAAATCAACATTGTTGTCGTGTTCAATCGCCGTAACGCTTCTCACGGTCTGTAGTTTGTCCAACGCGTTTGATTGGGAAAAATATCACAACAGCAAACTCATAAAGTCTGAGCTGATATTCAGCGATCCCATTAACGTCGTATTCGGCACGATAAATGACGGCTTTATCGAATTGAGGCAGTATATGATGGCTGCGAAAATCAGTGCATACAAACTGCTGTATATGTTTGTAAACTATTGCAAATTCAGGCTTCCATTTGATTCGTCGAATGAAATGAGGATCCTAATTAGCGTATCAACAAGTTACGTCATCAAATTCATGAAACATCATGATACGGACATTTCCGATCTGGAGACACTCTTGAACGACACTATTTTGAATATAGAGTATGAGGACAATACTCTGCTCAATTCGTTGCAGAAATTCGAAAATGGCGTTTACGAGTTGTTGTTTAACGACGTGACAATATTCAATATGACGGTGTTGGGGGTGACCCCGGCTAGACATTTCGAAGAAATGCTCGGGTTAGCGATAAAATGGTGGACGTTTTTCAACAACTCAGAGGACGAAGAAATTTTGAAAACTTACATCCCCGCGAGATACTCATACGAAAGGGACTCTTCTGAAGCGGTGAATTATTTTTACAATAAAATCATAAAAGAGCACTTTTAACTAACCCTTCTTGCTGAAGTGTAGGGAAAATTTCGTCACAGCCTGCAGCTTTAAAACTGCCAAAGGTTTTTATTGTCCATCTTATTCCACTTGGGGTTATCACTTTCCTGGTTAGTCTCTAATCAGCGCAGGTCACACGTTTGTCCTGTGCATCATGTTCCTGTTCTTTGTTGTTAATTCCAGAGTCAGGAAAATGTGTGTTCATCAAATGTGATAATTGTTCATTATCGTTATTTTTGAACATTCCGTCTGGCAGTCGTATTGCCTCGACAGTTTTGTTTGGTCCATTCCTTAGTGATCGCAGAAGTCTAGTTGCTATAGGGAGTTGTTGTATATCCCCACAGAACTTCTTCCAGCTTTCTCTTTTGGACTTTTTCAATGCAGATTTGTAGTTCCTTTGGGCGTCCTTATAGGATTCCCAGTGTTGTTCCAAACCTGATTTCATTGCTTTATTTAAGAGCTTACGTGAACTCTTTCTTAATTTAGACAGGTTAGCATTCCACCAAGCTACACCCTGCCCTGTACCTNGATTAGCATTCTATCAAGCTACACCCTGCCCTGTACCTTTCCTTTCTATTAAAGGACAGTTTTCTTTGTAAGCCGAGACAATGGATTCCAGTAGCATATTTACAGCCCTTTCAGTACTCTGTCTTGACCCCAATCTAAACTGTAGGTTATTCAGGTCACGGGAAAGATCTGCCCTGTAGTTGTCCCAGTTTGTTCTTTTCGGGTTTCTATAGTACTCCGTCTCAACTTTGTTAATTTCCAAAGTGAATCGTAAGAGCCTATGATCAGAAAGAGAAGGTTTGGAGGACAGTTTCC